ATCTAGTCTTCTCAAGGCTCAAAGGAACGGAACAGGAATAATTTCTTCTGTTAGTTGCTGCCAGAGCTCAATCGACCTCATATTTAAGTGTTTGCACCTTGTTTCTCATTTCAATTTGTCTGACTACACTTTCAGTAACTGATTTTTCTTAGGCTTTTCTCAGCTAGATTAAGAGTAGCTCATGTCTGATATTTTCTCCCTGTGAAGCAACTCATACACTATAATCAAGTACCTATCTATCATTTGGTCATGAATTATGTAACTCTTCATGAACACTAAGCATTCAATCACCACGTAGGCAGCCAACTGCCAAAACACAATCGTCACAATCTTTGTTCTCTGGATGCCCAACCCCAGAGGCACCTATAATTTTCACAGAGGCACAGGCACACAAAGCTGTACTTCCAAGCATTCCCCAAAACATGTCTGCACAGCACAAGGAAGCAGCTCACACTTTTAGTTCTGTCAGGATCCATAAAAGTAAGCGATCCCCCACTCCTACTCACAGGGCCCTGGGTGGCAGACTCTCCCAGAGCACACTGGATAATTTGAGTGCTTTGCGAGCACAGTATCACTATCAAAGAAAAATAAACCAATGTACCAAACAGTACAATGAATGATCTGCCTCCACCGCTTTTTATTTTTTTTAAAAAAAAGACTTCCAAGAAAGATTTTGCATGACTGTTCATTCTAAGTTAAACAACACCAAATTTTCTGTTCAGTGTCTTAAGCACTTCCCTAGTCACACAGTTGGCTGCTATGGAGCCATTTTCAAGCAAGAGTTTGTGACTCAAATTATGGAGGCATTACACCTATTTTTTACATGAGGAAACCTGGGCAAAAAGCAAGACCATTATATCATCTGCTCAGTGAAGAACTGGCTTATTCTGATTTCCTAGAGTAGTGTTTATTCTTGGAGATCATCTTCACTTTTTACAGTGCAGCACAGAAAGAACAATATGGAAAAAAACCCCAATATCATCACAGAACTTTCAACATTATCACAAAACCAATAATGAGCAAACGGCTCCTCTTCTCTCTGAAGAGATTTTTGTCTTACGACCAGTTTAGTACCCACAGAAGACTACTACACACACTGTGAGATGCCATGGACTCTGCAGCTATTGGAATAATGGAGATGCTCAGCCATAGATATTACACTGTTTGCACATAAATAATGCATCATAATAGTATCATAATGTTTATAAGACAAGAGCTCCTAAATGATGAACATTTAGTTCAGACTGAAATTATCACTACTGAGTGACGCGGCTCCAAAGCAGAGAAAGCACTGAGAAAGACAGCTGGAGTACTGATCTCTTGCAAGTTCTACCATGTGTACAGGCCCTTTCCCCATCCTACTAGTCAAAGAATTACAAGCTCAGTTCAACTCAGTATCATGATGTAGCATCGCTTGGAAGAAAAAACATATCCAAGACTCTTGGAAATGCAATGCTTACAAGAATCAATCTAAATATTTCTTCAGCTTGTTTTGAGACTTGCCATCCAGACAAGTCCACAGAGAGCAACTCAGAAAATTTTTCATTATCAAATAATCTCATTTTTAGCAAAATCACTGAAATGGTATTCACCAACACGGCCTCATAATTCACTCATCCATTGCATTAATTTTCCAATTGTAATGATGTATTTTCAGATTTGTGCATCGATAACAAGAATATATATGAACAGCTTCCACTGGAACCAAATTTCTGCAACTAAAACCTTAACTACAGGATTCCTGAGTTTGCTCTTAAGCTCGCTTCTGTTTTTAGAACAGCTATAAAATCTATCAGTATCTTAAATGTGATTTTAAAAAGAAAAGAAATTAATACTGTGGATAATGAACAGTCTCTGGATTTCTGGCTTTTTATCAAACAAAATTTCAATTTCAACACAGTCCTTGATAAAATGGGTCAGAGAATATCAGAAATAGGCACAAAGCTCTTACAGAACAATACACAATGACATTTGAAAAAACAGGTTTGATGATTTGTATAAAAATTAGAGGTTAAAAGCACAAACTGGTATTTGAAGTGTGATCTAGCAAATTCAATGCACCATTCTATGTGCAGGTGCATATATCTCTTTGATGGCTTGTATGCATTAAAGGTCTGCTGTTCAAATGCAGCACATTTTAAAAGTTACAGACAAAAGTATTATTTAGACTGTTATTGTCTTAAAATATATAATGGTACTTCATAGGTTTTAGAAGGAATATAGTTGTATTGTTAATACTTCCCTCTATGACAGAGGGAGCCTATTGCAGAATGAGGAAAGAAAGTCTGAGGATCTGGTTTTGTGGCATTTCCATACATCAGTTCCTCACATTATACAGAATTTCAGATGCAGAACAGAAATGCTATCACCTCTCAATTACAGTACCATCCTTACTCATGTAGAAACCAACTTGTTTTGCCTTCCACATTCCACTCCCTCTCCCCTAGACATGCAGCTTCTTCAAGCTCCTTAGTACCACTGACCCCATAAAGCAGTACAGTAGCTGCCAAAGAAGCTAAATGAAAATTATTATTAGAGCATTATATTATAAAGCGCATTAACTTTAAATTAGAAATCCAACTGTCAATCTGAATTTCATAGATGAGAATCAGACTTGATTTTTACTCCTGGCCACATCCTAAAAGTACCCCACAGCTCCATTCTTGGTGGGCTGTGGTGAAGAAGTTTCTGACTGTCCTGCAAAGTGGCTGGAGTTGGCACTTGCGTCTTTACCAGTGATGAGACTTATTCTATTTCTGTCTGCTCAAAGAAGCAAAAGGGCTGGCTTTTCCTGTTACAAAGCAATATTAGAACACAAAAGACAGACAAATATGTTTAAGTTAAAAAAAATTGATCTTGTATGACACTTTCATACTCCTATCATCCTAAAGAGTTCTGTGCCATGTTGTAGATTCTCTGTGAGTGCAGCCAATGACCAATAAGTCATCAGTAACCGTGAACCAGACACAGAACAAATCTTATTTTTATAAGGGATGTTAGCCAGGGTACAGGAGTTATCCTCTCATTCCTCTAAAACCTTTAACTCTCAGATGTCCAGCAGTCAGGAATGGATTGAAAAGAATAAAAGAAACACCTTTTAATTTAACTCTGATATGAATGCACAATTATCACTTAAGTTCCTTTTTAATAACGTTTCTTCTTGAAAGGAAAATACAGTATCATACTTTTAGCAACAGGATTATGCAAACAATATTCAACACTTCCGTTGCATGCCAGTTCTAGGCTAGCCTGGCAATAATTAGGTGACAATCAGTTCTTGCTCGTACTAATATATTTCTACAGTACTCTGTTTAGTGCAAGGGGATCTCTACAGTACAAGAACGAATATATATGTTGTTTGTACACAACACATTGATGACTGCTTTCCTATGTTGCTAAGACAAGAAAGTTGAATAGTTTTAAGCACAGTATACTACAAGGAACAGTTAATTTACCTAGACATAGTCTTGAACCAGTAGCATGAAAACATACACAAATTTTTGTAATTTTGGAATGTTATGTGATTCTACCAGTGTTACAGCTCTCTGTGTTATGTCTGTCTATCTGTCTACTGAAAGCATTTGATTTTTTCATATTAAGTGGGATTATTGTACTAAAAATCCAACAGTGTCTGGATTTAAGCTTTGAGTTGAATATTCATTTGCTTTAGTGAGAACTATGGTGAAATATGATCAGTTTTCTGACCTATTTTGAAATTGGTATTCTGCCAACTGGCATTTTGTTTGCACATCCAGATATTATCCACCATATGCTGACATGACATGATGATTGGTTCCAAAATGAAGTGGAATACTTGGCAAATAGAAATATATGGTACAAATAATACACTGCCTCTAGTCAGGGAAGCAAGCAGTCATTTTGAGAAGACTGAGAGGTTTTAAAATAACTAGAGTGTACACACTGCATAGAGGTGAATGAAAGCTCTCCAGGTCGTGGTTTTTTTATGGGTATGAGGGTCTCAAAAATTATGAGATAAATTCCTTACAGAAGATTCAAATCTGACACAGAAGTACTAGTACTAGTACTCCAATGGAAGATTAATTTGCATCTCAGGGAGAATTTGGCCCACATAGCTTCTTGCTCCTCTGGATTCCCCAACTCTTTCTTTTCACCATCTGTTCTTCTTTCCCACTGCTCTAACTTGTCTTCCCACCCAGTGATGTCTAAGTTATCTGCCTCTCCTGAGCTAAAGATCACATTTCATTCAAGCTCCAGCCTAATTTTGCATTATTTCTCCTAACCTCCTGCCATCAAACTCTTTACTTTTCTCCTAACTTAATGCTCCCATTAAATTTCTGCCTTCTACTCTGAACTGTAGAATCTCTGAAAAACACAAACAAGCAAACAACAAACCCCCCCAAAAACCTGTTCTTAAATAGGAAACACCCCAACTTTTTTCTTTTTATTCCTGTTTCCAAAGCAATGCTTTTGTTTTGCATTCCTCCAGTGACTTCCATGTCTATGCTCTCAAACGCAAAGCCTGAAAACATACATCTAAGTTATTGCTTGATCTCTGCAGTTCTATCTTTTAATGCTGATCACTGTCTACTTATTCTGTAATGAAATCTAAAAATTTTTAAAGCAGTACATTACTTTGCCACTGTATTTCCTCTGGAATTTTGTTTATTCTATTCTTGGGGGAATAGTGTGGGCAGAGAGACTTAATACAAATGTTAGAAAAAATATTTCTCCATAAAAGTTCAACTAGATTTCAAAATGAGGCATCTAAATAGCACACACTTCTGATGTTTATTTATTGAACTGCAAGCTTTGCTTGTGAAACATGAATGGATTTCAGTGCTTAATGCATAACCTTCACCTCTTGTGAAAACTTGAAGAGGATTAAGCCCATTTTAAAATCATGTCCTTTTTCAGAATAAATGATAATAACATAACTTTTAGTTTTCTTCTTGCAATCATTTAAGCATGCTTATATAGAAAAGAGAAGAATTTGTAAGCAAAGGGAGGAATGACCTTACCAGCATGCAAGTATGCCAGATCAGGATTTTCAATGTCTGGGTGTAGTTCTTTCAAGTGGTTACGAAACTCCACAGGGATATTGGTTCCATAGTCACATTTAGGACAGTTATACATTTTTACTCCTTCATGCTTTCCTGTATGTAAGATGTGTTTACGGATATTTTCTGCACAGTTAGACCTAAAAAGCAAAGAAAAAAAGAAAACAGTTACATATTAATTTATTTCCTACTAGTGGTTCAAATAAAACCCAGTGTCATCACAGAAAGTGAGTAGTCACTACTCATCTTTCATTATCTGCACAATTTTTGCATCCTTTTAGGTTTTGCATAAATGTTGTCCTTTGCATGAAGGCTCCCAGAGCTGTTTCAGGTTAACTGGGCATCACATCTGAACCAGAAGCCTTAAAAAATGATCAATTTTTTACATTTGCAGAAGTCTTAAAATGTTCATTTATCTGATGGTAGTCTGTGACGGACAGAAAATAAGCAAAAGTCTTTAACTTAGCAAAACTGAAGTATACAAATGCCTATAACACTCCCAACAGAGCTCACATGAACCTTTTCTACAGAGTTTCTAGATTCCATAGGAGTTGCTGTAAATAATTTTTATAATGATGTTCTACCAACTCTCGTCTTACTGTATGAACGCTTGCTAGGAAAGAGAGTTCAGTTGCTCAAGTATATATCTCTTTCAAAACACACATAGATGCTGATTCACCTCTTAAACACAACATTTGTGGAAGCAGTGGAGTTTTCATGCATAAAAGAATACATATGCAATTAGCTTAATGCATTTCAAAGAAATATTTCTAATGACATTTCTGGAAAAAAATGTGAATAGAAAAAGATTTCACATTTTCTGTATCCACAAAGAGATCCATATGGTGGTAATTTTTAATTTCCAGTCTTTAAAATTTTTCAGTCTCATTACAAAATTATTTTGCATTATAATTTCCTAGTTATTCAAACTTTGTAATGAATCCTATAAAAAAGATACTGCTGTTTCATTTATTTCAATCAGAAATAACAATCATATTTAGTCTTTAATCAAAAGAACAGCCTGTGTACCTGTACAGTTGTTTGAGGGTTGTTTTAGACTTTGTTAGTACCATACACTATTATTCTTGCCAAACTAAGTACAGTAATTCAGTTTAACTGAAAAGAAGTACAAACATTCACGTGAACTATATAAATGCATAATATTTCATAAATACTCAAATAAGACAACAGTAGGATTTTGGGCAATGGATTGTTTACCTGTCACTGTTAGAAATATCACAGTAACAGGCACCTAAAAAAAAGGACCCCCAAAATAAACTGGAAGTAGCAGCTTGAAGTTCTGCTGGAGTGCTTGTCTCTCACTCGGAAATGGTCATAGTAAAGTTGATATCTGCCTTACGGTGCTGCCAAAGCTCACCCTCTGTCATGTCCATCTGCTATATACTGGTACAATGATTAGACTCCTGAGAATGTCAGAGAAGACACTTATCACTGAAAAAATAGAGAAGATATTGGTCCTCAGCATCTTTCAGGATTCACCTCTAAAAAAATTACAATGCTCATAAATGTTTTCAAAATGAAACATGTATTTAAAAAAAATTGAAAAACATAAAAAATGGATAAAGCATACTGCAATGAAAGCAGGAGACAACCTGGTAACCTTCTATCATGGGTTATACTTTAAAGGGCAGTAGATTAAAGCAGAGCATACGAATCTGAAATAAAATATCTGTGTTCTTTTAGCTCAGCTCTCATACTATGTTAAGGAAAGATATACATTTTTTTTACTTTGAAATATTTCTGTGAAATATATAAAGGATCTGTGGAAACCTATGTAAGAGTTGTGAAGAAAACCCAGCCTGTTCAAGTCATAAAAGGCCAGTTCTACTCCTTTGATTTGTGAATTTGCTCCAACCACTTTAAATGGAGCATTCCCAAAGTCTCTTTTATTCAGTCATCAGTAAAAATCTGTGACTAAACACACCAATGTACTGATATAAAAATTTTAAAACCATATTTTTCGATGTGACAAGGCCAGAAAGGCTTAATCAGAAATGAGGAATATGAGATCACCAGGCATTACAAATGGCTCCTCATATTAGGTTGCAATGCAGCAATTGCAATCATAAACCAAACCATGAAGGTAACAACTGGCAAATCCAAGCACTTTTGAAGCCAAGTAATACCTTTAAATATGACATGACAAAAGTGTACTGCATATAAAATGTTTTTAATTATTCAGTGTGCTTTGAATGTCTGTTTTATTAGGAGTCTTCTCCCACATACGGCACAAGTATGCTGTTATATGCCTGACACAGTAACACCTCCACCAACACTCTGTAAGTTACGTCACTTCATCTCGTATGAGTAAACGCACAGGTCTATGATTTTAAACAGCACTGTATTTTCATTAAAGTTATGTCATGATAAGCATCTAGCTAAAACATTATAGTGATGATAGTCCAGCATTTGACAGGCCTTGTATTATAAGAAAGGTTCACTTCCAGGTGTCTACAAACTTTGAAATAAAGATTTCCTTTGTTCTGAAATTTGGAAGTTAGAGCCCAGCCCAAAAGAAATCGTTTGAGGAAAGTCTTTCTGGTTCTTGAGTTCTACTCTGAATTACTGCCACAAACAAATAAATGCAGTTTTTAAGAGACTAGCCTGTATTTCAGTAAGGCTAAACTAGAGGTTTCTGAGTTAAATTACTATTATTATTGCTTAATGTAAGCACACTTTCATCCTTATGATCCATTTTGAAAATCAAATGTATACATATTTCTGTCAATTTGCCCATGCTCTGCAATAACAGGAAGGGAACTCATTAGAGAGACTTAATTAGTCTAAAGCTATAGTCGATGGGTTTATATTCAATTCTGATGCAGAGAAACACAACAAAAATTTTCTTTTTATTTCACATGTTGCAGTAAGTCTTCTTATTAGATGTGAAGAAAGGTTTGAGACTCAATGCAAACTCCACAACAATTCTATTGAAGGGAAGAGGAAGGCCTGTATAGACTTTTCGATGTTCTGTCAGTGCTGAAAGAGGTGATGGAACATGTTACTAAGGTACATTGCAGATGAACAGGAAATATGAGGAACTGAAAAGCGCAGCCCATACTTCTCATGCAACAAGCCTGTATGACCTCCTCCATCAAAGACTGATATATTGGGAAGGACATAGGCTTACTTTCCACTGCACACATTCAGGAGAGCTCCTACATTTCTGTAAAGGACAACACTGAAACAAGGGAGACAGATGGTTTCTCCTGCGAAATGCAGCTACTGCTTAAGATGAACAGAAAACCTCTTTTGGATGAAGATTAAAAAAGGGCTTTTGTCTCTAATGTTCATGGCACAGCGATGTGCTCACAATGCTGTTCTAACTGCACATTTCATGTTGCCATTAGAAATCCATTACCAACCAGTTACCCCTCTGTCTTTTGCTGCTCTCAATAAATTAAAGGTTGCTGCATATTCAAATATCATAAACTGGAAATGGCTTATTGATAGTAAAATGGTACTTTAGTCACAGAATCACAGAATGGTGAAGGCTCTAAGAGACCTCTGGAGATGGTCTGGTCCAACCTCCCTGCTTAAGAAGGACCACTCAGGGCCAGTTGCCCACAACCATTTTCATGCAGCTTCTGAATCTCTTCAAAGATATATCCCACCCTCTCTGGGCTACCTTGCCAGTGCTCAGTCACCCTCATAGTGGAATATTCCCTGATGGTCAGAGAGAACCTCCTGTCTTTCTGTTCGTGCCCATTTTCTCTTGCCCTGTCAATGGTCACCACTGAAAAAGAGCCCAGCTTCTACTTCTTTACACACTATTTATGTGCACATTGTTGATGTCCCCCTGAGTCTTTTCTCCAGGCTGAACAGCTCTCTCAGTCTCTCCTTATTTGAGATGCTAAAATGCCATCATCATCTTAGTGCCCCTTTGCTGGCCAGATATTTTGTTAACATGAGAAGCTGCTGCTATTGTTTGTCTTCCTTCTCCTATCCTTATGCATCAGGTTTTTTACCAAAAAATAGGGCATTGTGCTAAGAGCATGAAACAGAGTGCCTGATGAGTGGGAAAATCATGCTTCTGGTGCACAGGACAAGAGTTCTCATAACTGCCTTCCTTCCTAACCCAGAATATACAACTATTCCTTTAGCACTTAAAGTAATATAGCACTGCCCCTATGAAGACGTTTTCTCAGTCACATTTGCAAGCTATAGTGTGCCACTGACCAGACTCCTCAGCAAAGCCAGGTCTACCCCATAGAAAACAGCAGCATTATCCAGGGTTCTGAGATGGCAGAGCACAGATGTGCACTTTGCAAGAGGCAGAGCTGGGAGTTCTAAGTCAGCAGCAGGGAAACATGGGTGGAAAGATGAGTCTTGGAGAAAATATGTACCAAGTGGGGAATTGTCAGCCTGAAGGTCCCCACAGTAAGTGCTGTCTGTGGTGGTTATTATTCCCCCATCATCTCTCCCTTCTTTCTCACCTTGCAGGACTCAGCCAGCCAGTGTCACAAGCAGTACAAGGGCAGGGATTTGGGCATCCCTTCTTCATGCAGAGGGGCTCAGCCCCAGCCTCGTGGCTGGATGCAGCAGGTCGTGGCCTGCACTCCTCTCAGCCAGCAGCACTGGTTTAAGCAGCCCATGTAAAAAGCTGAGTTGTAGGTAACTGCAGAGCTATGGCTGCCCTATCCCTTGTCTTTTACACAGCATTTTGGATTAAAATAATGAAAGGAGAGAAATTCACAAAACATATGTTAATTCTAAATGTGCCCATGCAGAATAGGAATGCTACTGTATTTTCTAAGGGTTCTGTACATGAGAATCCATTAGCATGTATTCAACAGATAAATGAAATATAACAGGAAGCAACCCATTTTTATTATCTTTTACCCATTTACTAATAAGAAACTGAAATTAGAACACTCTTCCATTATGCCGTGCCTGACATTTCTAGAAAGATGCTTACTGCAAGACATGGAAATGGAAGGTTTCAGAGGTGCAAATGAGGCAAAATGTTAATTATCTAGTCCACTAAGTTTTAAAAATTTTAGCACCTTGTAGGGCTCTTATTTGCACAAAATAAACCTTTCTCAAAAGGTCTTCTCCAGGACATTAGGTACAAACATCCCCTTTCTGCAGAGAAATGCGTATACCGTGAAGGACTTTT